TTGTACTCTCCATGTCTTTGTCGCCAACATTACTGTAGTTGCTGGCTCCATTTATTTTTTTATTTCTTTTATTTTGTTGGTCTCTGCAGACTAAAACTGGAAATACTTGCTGCTCCTCAGACTGGCAATTAGCTTAAATCTTTATTTCCGTGTTCACCTAAACTCACTGGTATCAGGTTTGTAGAGCTAAAGGGAAGTATTTCCTTTTGGCAATGAAGATGGGTCAAAGCAGGTCCTTTGTGCTCGTCAGGTGCTGCTTAACTGCATTCATGATTAATGTAGAAGGAAAAACACCCGCATTATTACTAACCAACTTTCTATTGTTTGCAAAGGATGTTCTTCAGCAGCTACCACGGTTGGATTCAGCTAATCTTACTGTGCCAAGTAGCTTAAACAAGGTTGTTGGGTGTGTACCTGCTGCGCGAGACACCAGTGAGTGTACTGCTGAGCGCAAACATGTCAAGCTGCAGGGTCAAACATTCTCACGGTTCAAATTAAGAGACTCAGGAAGTGAAAAATGGTCACAAGTGGCCACTCACCTTGCTTTCAGGATATACTTTCTTAGATATAAACCTCAGACTGGTTAAGTTGTTGCAGTTAGGTAAGTTTGAAAAGTGTAACTCTTCTTGCAGACGCAGAAGTTTGAAAGTTTTTATTGCAGCCAAATGAACCTTATTACCTCCGAGCGGTCAGCTCACAGGGCTGGTATTAAAAAGCTTTTAAAATATGAAGGCCTTGGAGTCCTTTGCTGGCTGTTACACACCCCTTACACAAGGGAACCACAAACAGACACAGCTATTCATAGTATTGCAAAAATCTGACAGTGCTTTGTTTTCATGCTACATCTGACCTGCAATATGGGAGGTGTGTTCCTTTATCTGCTCATATGACTGGTGGTGGTGTCAGACAAATATCTGGGCTATTTACCTGCACCTCCCAGCTTACCAGTTTTTTTCCACTCCACCGTGACAACACTGTGGTGTACTGATGGCCACATGACCGTGCACAATACTTATGACCAGTCTACCTGAAATGAGATGGAGAGGCATCATTGCTGCCGTTGCATGTAACCTAAAATGTCGAATTTGCAGCCGTTTTACATTTGAGCCAAACTATGATCAATGTTGAAGCAAAATTTGTGTGTTTGAAAAGTAACAATTCTTTGTTTTGCTTATAATTGAGAATTTTTATTGAGTTATTTTTAAAAACATCAAAACAGGGCAGGTCAAAGGCGCTGATACAGACTGAGGTATATGAGGCAATTTGTACTTTATTATTGGGTAATATTCATTTGCCAGATGTCCAGTACACACTGTCTGCTTCATATCAAGGTATGTTTTCATTTTGTCTTTGGATATGAACTCACCGTTACTGTCCCATTGCTCTATGATAATCTCAGTGTTATAGTTAAGCCTTCCCAACATATTCTGACAGGCAACAGTGTTGCATCATTTGTTCAGTCCACATTTTCAGTATCTGAGTTTGAGGTGTTTTCCAAAACTTACAAATTACTTTGGCACAAGTCACTAAACCGACCGGCAGTATCGCCATTACAGACGTATTCAGCTGTGGTAGGACACCACTTTAACCATCGGCCTGTAAAATAGTACCTCTTTCTGTCTTACATCTCTAGTATAAATTATCCTTAACTAAAACAATTTTTGTGTAATCTAGAAGGATGGTGCTAATACAGATTAATTATTTTATTGAAAAGAAAATAATGATGGAAAAGTTTTCTCTGACATTTCATTGACCACATTACTGATTGATGAGAAAATGAATTGGTGTTAAATCCCTTTTATAGTACTTGTTGTGTAAGTAGACAACACTTTGGTCAATCTGCGTTTTAAAATGTTTTTAAATGTGCTTATAAAAAATGATTGATTGAATTAATAGTGTTATTGTCAGAGTACAGTCAAATGTTAAAGGTGAGTCCACACAGGCAGCAATTCGCTCACCGCATGTCGCTTTGAAGCTGACAGTTTGTAGCTAGCTGCATTCTGGCCTTCAGTTGCCTAGGTAACCTTCAAATGTATTTGTCACCTTCGTCCTGGACACGTTTATCTAATGGCCTGCCCACTTCGTGTTATCACTGGTTTCATTACTGGTTTCATTTTTGTCTTTTTGTGTGTGTGTGTGTGTCGTCCCCCTCATAGTTGCTTGAAGTCACCAAATGGCGTGGGCTTCTTGTGTTATCTCTGTTTAGTAGACGGTAAATCTTGCTATCATAAAGGCCATAATGTTTAATAAATTTAATGAAGGATTGTTTTAAACTAGGCAGCTTTTAAAAATCTTGTCCTTGTTTTATTTAAAGGACAAAAACACCTCTCTGTTTGATTTTACTCAGATCAGCAGCACTGCAGTCAGTGCTTGAAAATGGTTGTGCAGTTACTTTCACATCTCAAAACCAGCAAAATTGAACTTCATGAATTCTCAGACTCTCTCCAAAGCACAGGGAGTCTGGAGTTGTTTGTAAAGAGGCAACACAACCACGTTGTGGGCTTGCTCGCCTTCACATGCTGGTTTAGAAACCTTATTTTGGGTAGTGTATGAAATGGACCATGGTGTCACCCCTGGTATGTTGCGTTACAATGCACAAATGATTTGAACTGAAGCTGAGTCAAATTTTCAAATCTGAGCAGAAAGACAAAGTTAATCAGGATAAAACAAGCAGTTTAAATGTTGCTGAGAAAGTCACTTTGATCATAAATGACTAGGATTGTGTTTACAACACAGGTTTTAGCACATAGTTCCTCCTTAAATGATATTTTACCTGCTTCAGGAGCAATAAATATTATTTATATTTTAATATGTAAAACAATAGTTATACCATCAGTGGTGCATTTAAAGGAGGATGGAGTAAGGCCAATTATCTGAACTCTTTGTAGATGGATCATTATGAGTACATCTCACACAGATCGTAGTGATGTTGACACAAAACAGTTCAGCAGGCGGACTGAGAGCAAACTAGCTCGCCATTACAGTTAAATTCTTTTTTTCTACTTTTCTGTTGCCACTTGTCTACAGATCTTATTTGTGTCTTTTACTGTCAAGTTTACCACACAGAGAGCTTTGTTAACAGATAACCATCAGCAAAGCGCAAGAGCAGTATCCAGCTGTATGATATTATGTAATGTCTGCTGCTCAAGAGGATCAGACTGAACTTGCAGAATGAGCTCAGACTTGTTCCTGCATATGTGATAGCTGTGCACATGTAGGCTCATTAGATATCTTCAAGGGCGTTGCCCATGCTGTTATTGACAGGATTATTATTCACCTGTGAACCATTATTTGCCTATTTTCTTTCTTTCTTTCTTTCTTTCTTTGATTTGTAGTAAAGGAGTTGTAGGAATAAGGAAAATTAGAAAAGAGAAATTAGAAAGTTAGAAATTATAAAGGAAGTTAGGCGATGTGCAAGAATGCTGAAGTACCAGAAGTAAGTTTGCCCCATTAACTTCAGCACGACTTACCTAAACACAACATGCCTTTCCACATATTTACCAAGCTAGCAGCCAAGTGACAGAAACACTAACAAACACTAGGTACTAACAATAAATGCAACTTGGCCAAAAACAAAGCTTTCGTGCCTTCTTGTCTCTGCATGTTAAACAATGGTTGCCACTCCCATAGATACCAATAAGTTTTGAATGAAACCATTAAATAGCCCAACAGAAACCATTCCAGTGTAATTGAGCCCAGACTGTATTTAAATAGGCCAATACTAATAATTAATGTCAGCCTAACAGATATTTAGGCTATCGGTGTGCTAGCAGCTCCAGCTCCATCGTTTATAATCCTCCACCAGTGTCTGCACCACATGCAGCAGAGGACGCACCACAGCTAACCAGACGTGGGGGTGGATTTAATCAGTGTGTTCATTTTGTTCAGTTTGCAAGTAACCTGCTTTGCAAACCACAAGACAGAGTAAAGGCAAAGAAATCAGCATTTTTATATGTAACCACAGTAACAGGAAGTCAGACAAGTACAGATTTATTAGTGGGCTTATAGGTAATTACAACTATGATTTTTATTTATTTTTAACAAAGAAGATTTTTGGGGGGATCATCTTTTCTGTTTCTTCTATGTATTGTAATAAAGGTTCCTATGTTGCTTTGTGGCACATAAAGCAAAGTGCAGAACTTTTAATTATGTTAAACATTTTATATATTATTTGGCATTAGGTCCCATCTTAATATCCAGACAAGGGTGATAAAAAATTCTATTACTTTACCTTGTTTATCTACAGTTAACCGTTTTCTGTTGATTAGTGAGCAGGGGTCCTGCCAGATAAAGAAAAATAAGTTAAGTATTTAAGAAAATAAAAAGTGGTGCGTCTGTGAGCCTTGTCAGTCGATGCGTGAAACGTTTCTACCTTGCACCCAGCAGCTATGTTTCGCTTAGCTACACACTTTTAACCATAAAGTGAAATCAGGTTCTCCAACTTTGAGTCAGCAATTGTTGAATTAATTCACTTCCTACTCAGATTTGTTTCTGGAGAAATTCAATTTTATTTTTACGCAATATCAGTTAAGTGTTGAAATGGTCCTCACGAGCAGTGTTTGTTCTGGTGATCCAAACGGATATTTTACTGGTGCTGAACATTTTCAAGCTTCCAGAAGGAAGAGAAACTCAGATCGGAGAGAAACTATCCAGAGCTGTTGGACTGAAATAATTTGTGCTGGATTCAAGCCTGTTGTAGAACAATTCACACTCATACAGCAGCCAGATTAATGTCTGTGAAAAAGGTTATCATTACTTTTTGTACTACTTGAATATGATGTGATTATTCCAGGGGAGTGGAAACTTGATGTTAACTGTGTTTTTATGCTTAATCTGAACTTCTCTCTGAGTGCTGTCCAGCGGGAACATATTGTTCAGCTCCGTTCTACTTTTTTACAGTATAAAGCGCTCTTTCAAGCGCCGCTGTAGCTGTAGGGGATGAGTAGGTTAGTGTCCACTTTAATTTAATAGGATACCGCCACTTAGTCATACAGCACAGCTGTGGCCACGCAACCATCACATCCCTGACCACCACTTCCTCCTCAGAGGGGATGGTTTGTTGCAAGCCTTCATTTGTGCTTGTGTTGCAAGCTTATTTTCCTCTTTTTTTTTTTTTCTTTTTTTTTCCAGCGTTTTTCCCAGTTTTATATAATCAACTAGACTTCCTCCGTGTCAGCTGACGTTTTCACATTAAGCATTTTGTTGCACAGTGTGTGAGCCTTGCTTGCAAACACCAAAGGTCATAAGAAACAAATCATAGGAAATAGCATTCAAAACATGTTACAAAGGTTATTAAATGTACTCAGCGCAAACAACACACCTCAACAGCACCTGCAGCAACAGTGCAAACATGACACTTTTAATGACATGCTGAAGCAAAACTTGGAGTGATGTCATTGTAATGACTTCGTTGGGTGTTCATTAGATGCATTGAAAAAAACGTTTAAATGCTTTCCAGCTGCAAACCTGTGTGCTTTTGCACCGGGGGTCACTTATTTTGTATCTCTATATAAGTGGTTACTGACTAGTTGGATGCACATACTAATCCAAAATTTTATTTTGCAGAAAAATCAAATGTTATAGCAAAAGAAGCTGTTTCCAGATGGACAGGTGAGTCTGCTAATTTCTTTTCTTTCTTCTTTTTAAATATATATATATAGACATTTAATGGTCTGGATTTAAGCTGCAAGAACATAAAATGCCCAATATGTGGTTGTAGCGCTTGTTTATAAAGTGAGAGTTGTTTTATTTTGTAGTCACTATTTGTGGATTTTGGACTGCTGACTGTTGATTGACCTTGGTTTACTGTTTTCTGTTTGAAATTTCTGGTTAGTCCAAAAAAAAAAAAGCTGGATGACAGCGGTCGGACTTTATCTCTGATTACTGTTTAATGCACGTGAAAGTGCATTAAAGTGAAATCTGTGAAGACGCTTTCTAGTCCAGCTGTCGCTCTAAGTAGTCCGCGCTTATGCTCTGAGTGTACGTTTGTTGACTTGAGTGGTAACCTTGGACACAGCTGACCTTTAGGGATCATGGTAGCCATCGATGCCTGCGGTCTTTTGACTCTTTAGATCAACATTGCCTGCTGCAGGTCAACAGAGTGGTGTTGTCAGTTTTGGTTGGAGAGCTTTTGCTTTGCTTTCATGGAAGGAAGCTCGGTTAAAAAAAAAAAAGTGAGTCATTTCTGCCTCATTCACGATTAGTACTTCTCTTTTCTGAGCTGGACAGTATGAAACAAACATGCATAAGTGTTTCCTCGCAGCACAGCTGTTGAATTTGCACAGTAACGTCTTTTACTACGAGCTATATAAGTTCTCATGTTATGCTTTTAGAGCGAATGCTACTATTTTACTAGGTCTGGTCAGGGTTTGTGGCTAAACACTCAAATCAACACAGCAAAGCCAAATTTTGAAGGTTTCGTGGAAAAAGTAGCTGCAACTTTGCACACCTTGTTTGTTTTTAAAACACTGCTGCTGTATGTTGGCCTGCTCATGAATTGTCTGCGGCTGCCCACACAAGCCTCGACACATTTAATCGCTTGTCATATCAAAACTGGAGAACAGTAAAAACGAATCCTCCAGAAGTGAAGTGAAAGGCATCGCTAAAAGTGCAAGCCAACGTTCATTGGCTTAAGCGCCTGATCAGTTGTTAGTCTGCAGGAAGTTGTTCTGCTTTTGAAACTGGAGACTTCAGAGCTTCAGCTGCTAAAATGTTTTCCTGAAATAGACATTTTGTTTTTAGTGAAACTGTTATTTTTATTGCTATTATTTAAGAATAGGACGCAGGTATCTATAAAATGTTTTCTTTTTTTTTTCACATGAGGCTTTTAGGGTGAATTTACCACCATAAAACATCAAGATGTATTTAATTTGAGTTAGTTAAATGGATTATTATATATTATATTATATATATATAGATTATACAAATACATCATTAAAGAATTTGAAATTGTTAATGTTAAGGGCAGTTTGTGTTTCCTAAATTTACATGATATTCACAAAACTGGGAAAACAGATCATCTAAATCTGCCGCACTAACCAGTCATAGTAACCCGGCTTTCTCTTTGCTTCTGAATGAGCAGTCCAGATTCCTTTTGCTATAAATGTACAGTATATATTTGTAAATTGAGATTTCATTTATATTTCATGTGTTTAATGTTTCTTTTTTACTCTTGTTCTCAGACAATGTTTTTGCCATAAAGTCGTGGACAAAGAAGAAGTTTGCCTTTGATAACAGCCGCATTGATAAAGCCTTTGGTATCCCGGAGGATTTTGACTACATGGACTGACTGCCAGCATGTCACGGACGCAGCGATGGAGTAATGTGTTTCGACCTCTGACACCTACCTACCTGGTCTCTGCATTTCTAATTCCTGTGCTGTGGGTTTCAGTGAAAATAAAAGCACCAGGCGCTCCACTCGCGCCCTCGGGTGGATTTTGAATAAGGACAGATGTCAGTGACTTTGCGGTGGCAGATGGACTTCATCTGTGGATATGTTACTTTGGTGCAACCAGAGAAGAGTCTGAAACGCCATTAGTGGCTGTGAGGGCTGACAGGGTCCTGTGATGAGCACAAGCTAGCAGCCAAAGTTTTGGGACACCTGTTAGCATGAAAACTGAGAGCTCCGAGTAGATGATGGAAAGGAATCGACACTTACTGCATTTGTGTTGCCAGTGGTCGCATTTGTATGGTTTAAACAGATGGTTTGGAATCAAATGCTTGTGCACTTTTTCTTAGATATGTTCCTTTTCTCTCTCCCTCCCTGGAGTATTACAGGGCATGCTTTCCTAGTTGTATTATAATTACAAAGGTCAGTGTCAAGTTATCTTTGATGTTTTTGTTTCTTTTATAATCGTCACTGGAATTTCACAAAAGCGGCCCTGAAATTTTAGGGTTTTTTTGTTTTGTTTTTTTGTTGTTTTTTTCAGGACTCACTTGCTGGATGATCAAAAAAGATCATTGCTGTCACAACATGTCTAGAATGACTATTGACCTTCTTTTTTTGCTCCTTTTTTCTGTCAAACCAGATGCAAAATAGGCAGTTGTGTGTCTTGTTTACTCTGTGACCTAGTTGAGAAGGCCAATGTGTCTGGGTTCTTTGATTTAAATTTCAAATGAGCTCTGTGCTCATTTTGCTTTGCTCATCAGTTTCATTTATATTCCAGTAAATGAATGACATGCAAATGTAATATCTGATCTTTCGCCTCTTCTTCTAAGGTTTTTCTGCATTAATGAATGTGAGACAGATGTTAGTTACTAATTTAAAGGACACTGTTTTACTACTGTAAATTTAGTTAGTGGCATGATAAAGACTCATCTAATCCAGTCTCTGGCTGTCCATGAACTGATGACTACAGCAAGGCTGGAACAAAATAAATAGTCGAAATGCCTAGCAGCAGTTTTGTTTGAGGGAGCTGACACACCCACACAAGAATAACCTGAATGTATTCATGTGTGTACCTGCCCAACCTGTACTGTGATTCACGGGCCTGTTGGCTGTCAAAACTCTGAGAACACTATGCACAGTTTTTGGTAATCGCAGCTTGCAGTTTCTCTCGTTAAAACATGCCTGGCCCTGAAAAGAGACCAACAGAGCAGTACTGACACAAGGACTTAGCCCTCTCCCCATATGAACATTTGAAACCAGAGTGGTGTAACTGGAGTGTAAAGGACTTTTATTACATGCATTTGCCTACGTTTCTGCGAAGAAAGTTTGAAACCCAGCCAATTTCTATTTTATAACACATTTCCAAATGCTCCTCAGTACTTTCTTCAACTCTCGATTTACATGCTGACACTGCCAGTACAACAGTGTAAAATTCCTGCATTCAAATCTCACCTCAGTAAAAAGAATCGCACACAAATGAAGTGAAATATCCCCTGTGACTAAGCGATTATATTATGAATCAAAGTGTGGGTTGCTTTTTACTGCTGAAGAAGATCAAGGTGTGGGAAGTTACTGTTTGATATACAACTGCCTGCCAAGGCCACACAGGATTAATCTGGACGGGGGGCAAATATATTAGAAGACTATTTTTACACTGTAAAATCTTAATAATACTCAACTTGAAAGCTTATGCATTATTATATTATTACTAGCCTATTATTACTAAAGTGCTGTGTATGCTCATTAGATTAAGACACACAGTTTCCTTTAAATATCTTGGCCTGAAATGAAACATTTATCTTAAAATTAAGTAGAGTTTAATGTATTTAGTCACTTCCCACTTGGAAATACTGTGCCACCAGCAGTTTTAGACGCATTTACTTACTGACACTAAGTAAAAGTAGCAGGACTGGAGAATACATCTGTAGTAAAAATGTCAAACACATTAGCAGAATATGGATTAAAAGGAATCAGAGTGAAAGGCTCTCTGTACCGGACACTAATATTTTTATTAGTTTAGTTGTATATGCTATAACATGAACCCTGACTCCATGTGTAAGTCATACTTTTATGTTCTATGGCATAAAGCCCAAGCAGATCTCATTTACAGATAGTATTTCCAGAATCTCAATTTTTCCACCTACTGTTAGTACGTGTATATTAAATTGACAGATCACGGCTGATCTACAATAGCATTTAAATGCTTTATAAGCCACTCAGCTTGAGATCTCCTGGTGTATTGCCATTAATAGCAGTGCATTTTAATTGTAATTTTTGTGCTATTTTTTCTGTACAAAGCCATTCAGTGGGGAGGGGGAGCTGTACCCTCTGGGGATGTTCTAGCAGGGTTGAAGTGCAGATAAGTTTAACTATGTTTTAATTTCTAATATCAAATAGCAGCTCTTAACTAAAGCTAGTCAGAAATATCAGCATTTGATTCAATACAGCGTTTGATCAGTTGTTTCACCTCGAGTATTCGGCTACTTTACAGTTTTATGTAGGGTTGCATAAAGACTTGTTATTATTTTTTAATGGTATTTGTTGGCTTTCTACCTCGTGTCTCGCTGCAGTCCCTGTAGCCTGCTTGAGCAGGCGGGGAGGGAGAGAGGGAGGGAACTGCTGCTGCTTCTGCTTGCTGAGAGAAAGAAAGACCAACGCAGCGAAACACAAGGCAGGCTGCTAGCAGAGAGGGCAGCATGGCGGGGCTACAAGACTTCCACCAAGGCAGCCACTGTCACAGGAAAACGTGGATCAATATACTACTAGGAATACTACAGTTACTTTTACCCTGCGTCCAGCACGGAGGTGCTCAGCTCCAAGGTTTGTTATTCTCGTCTTTATTTTCCGCTTTGGGGGGCTGGTACGTTTACGCGACCGTTGCAGAGAAAAAAAGAGAAGAAATGTGCTTTAATTTTGCTAGGCTGTTACTGTGGAAGACGAGAAACGAGTTTAGCCAGTCTAAGTGTATGAAAAATCATGAAAATAAAAGTTAAAGTGGTGTTTTTCTTTTTCTTTCGTTTTTACTCGGGAGAGGTTTGTAGCTAGTGCTTTATCACCCCGCTAATGTTAGTTCTTGCTAGCTTCCAATTCCCCTCTGCTGTTTGATTTAACGAAACTGAGTTGCTCAGACATGGAAGTAGCGGGTTGTCGAGACTTTGAACGTCCACTTAGCGGCTGTTAGTGTAATAAATCTACGCGGTGTTGTAAGCTGTCCTTTACATGACCATACAGTCGTGTTTACTGCAGCAGCAGGGGTGATGTTTCCCCAAGTTCGTTAGCCACCGAGCTAACCCCCTGCTAAACAAGCAGCTAGCAAACAGCCTTTGTGAGGCTTCATTTCCTCACTTGCCTGTCATTCTCGTCCACTCCGTTTCCCTTGATTCATTCGTAATAAGAGATGATGCTACTGTGGCTTGGCAGGTTTAATTACTTATGTTATAATTATTATCTTTTCGGGTGCTTTGGATGCATTTCCACCAGAGTCTGTTGTTTTCCATGTTGCCCAGTTTCCCAGGGCAGCACCTAACTGTTAATTTGATTTCTTGTTCCCTACAAAGCTCTGAGTCAGATGTCACCCAGCGTGGTCGAGGTCTGGCAACCAGAGGATGCAGAGCCATTAGTCCCGCTTCAGGTAGGTGCCTTCTAATGGCTGAGTTTGTATTTGGCTCTTTATGTGCACATCAGACAGCATGAGTGGACACGTGTGGGTTAAAGCATCACCGATGTTTTTGGACTCAGTTTACAGACTAATTTGGGTCTGTTTGAGAGGGGGAAACTCGTCAATACCCCGCCACGATTTTGTCAACACAGTTATCGAGAAAAGTTATCTTGCTAGTACTCACAGTTCATTAAACAACTCCAAAGTGAAGGCAGAGCGGGAGGTCACCTGCCATGTGGCTCCTCCTTATTTTCTTTTGTACGTGCTATCCATTGTGGAGTTCAGTTAGTAACACAGGCTGACAGCCTGAAGACTGCTTCGCAGTTGCTTCCGGCTTTGTGGTTCACACATTTTAGTCTAGGTTATGCAGTTCTTTTTTGTTGTTGTTGGTTTTTTTTAAGTACTTCCAGTCATTTTCAAGTGGGTGTTTGTGATTATTATGTAATTGTGAGGCAAGAGCAAGGGTAAACAGCACAAGTTCGGTGTTTACTGATAAACCTATCATGAAGTCACCAGCTGGCTTGTCAGGTTACCTGAAAGGGGTGTGTGGCATTTTTCCTGAACAACTCTGCAAGGAGACAGTGTTGAGTTTGGCTGCTTTAGGTGAAAAACTAGATGCAAACTAAACGATTTGCATACCTTTTTTTTTCTTCTTTTTTTAAAGAGTTCAATATTATTCTTTTGTGTCCAACTAAAAGATTAAAAGCCGGCCTCCTTTGCACAGAAACATTTGCAGAGAGTTTATTTTTGCCACTGTATAGTATAGTTTTTCCAAGCTTGCTTTGTGGTGTGCACCCTACGGTAATTGCCAGAGACCAGAGATAACACCGAAGCAGTTGATTCAGTATTGCAGATAGTTCTTAGTGTGAGTTGTATATGCTGATAAATAATTCATATGCTGAGGGGAGGAATTTGATGTTTCTTTTGTGTTTTGTTTTTCCATACTTACCCCTACCTTGCAGATCAGTTAGCAGGTGACTGGCTTGTTGACATTGAGTGTCATATGTAGTATTGGATGGAGCGATTGTCTCAGTTACATGAGCTATGTGAAACAGAGCATAACATGCATGTCTATCTTCTACCCCAGTGCTGTGGGCTCACTGAAGTAGTGATGCTCGAGATGCAGTGTCATATGTGCAGATATATCGTCACAATCAAATCTGGGCTGTAAATACATTCCTGTAATACTTGCAGTAACTGCTGCACGTTTCCTTTGTGACCACATTGTGCTTTTTGTAACCATTAACATGCGTTATCGGTCACGTGTTTAGATTGGCCTCTGGTCTAATGATATTGGTTGAAGTTCCCTGGTAATTTTAAATAAATTGCAGTTTTATCTGCTTCATCTTCCTGTTTGGGTTTTGTCATTTCTGCACTCATCGTTTACAAACACTGCTGCTGTGCTTGTGAATATTCCTTTTCATGCGTTATCAGCTCAGCTGCTGCAGTGAGCAGCATAAGCTTTTATTTTATTGTTGTGCACACTCTAGTGAAATTATTTTTGTTTCATTTAGTTGAACTATTAAAGGTGTTGGAGTTCTTGAAAGAAATTTACATCAGCTGGAGCTTTTCATGCTGAGGCCTGTAGTTTCTGCTATGCTGGGGAAAGGTTTATGTGGTTAAATGGTCGGCTGTTATGAAGCGTTTTTACCCTTAGCAGTTCTACAAAGCAATTTACAGTGTTTCTCGTTCACCCACTCACACACCCCCCAGGGCTTTTTGTGGCTTCACTGGTCCGTGTGCAGCGAAGGCAATAAGTCTGCCTTACATCATTTAATGGAAATTTCTGCATTTTTCTCTTATGGCTGAATTTTATTTTATTTTCTTACACAAATTTATACTATGCTTGAGCACTATGCATGAAACATCAATTGCTTTAAAAATTGCCTATTTGGAGGAACACCAGAAACTTCCACACTTGCACAATAACAGCTGTGGGTCTAACTTCCATTGTGACTAATTTTAGCGTCAATGTCTTGCCCAGGGCTGTTTTTGCAGTGGCAATATGTTTATGTACATATCTGTCTTGAAAGAAGACTCATGCAGTTTCACAGTTATTAAATAATTCAGTGTGTACGTTCATCTTCTGCAAATAGCAGAAGAGGGGGGGAAAAATATCTAAGAAATGAATCAGCTGTCGTTCGGTTAGCCTCTCATCCAGCACGTTAACTCCAATCCACTGTCTCAGACTGCAGCTGCTGAGAGTAGTCTTTGTTGTGCTTTGCGTCCTTGGTGAGCTCTGCTTAGCAGCACATGAACCACTTCTCCATCTGCTGCAGGTTCTGGTTAGAGTGGCCCTCCAGCTTACTTTAGAATGTAAAGACAAAGACTCCCATCGCCACCTAAATTATACCGTGAACCTGACAGAAAAGAAGCCTAGCTACTGAGCCAGTAGGACAGTAAAATATGAGGTAGGAAGACCTAGGGCACTCCCTTATCAGCAAGTGAACTTTCAAAATAGGACCAAGGAAGTGTTGCACTTGTAAGGATTTCCTCATGTTATGGTGACACGGGCCTTTGTTACCCTGAGCATGCCGAGCATATTACACACCTTTATTACAGAAATTGGGGTTAGATCTGTTACAGAAGCAACAGCTTTCAGTTAAATATTCCCATGACTACTGTTACCATAAAACAGTGCTTAGTACATGGGAAATGTTTTGGGTAACTAGATTCCTACTTCACACAAATGTAATACTGGAAGGAATGACTGGTAGCATGCTTTTTATTCTGCAGGAAACCTATGTGTGCATCAGAAAAAGAAGAATTAAAGAGCATAGTTGTTTTTCATGGTGATTAATAGTGTTCTATATCCATTGCTTGTAAAGCATTTAAATTTCGCTTATGGGTTTTTGGTTGCCAATATGATACAAATAGGAACCAGTTTTTGTGCAGATAAGACATTTTTAAATCTGTTAAAGGATCCTTCAAAAATTTCTTGTATAACACCATTCAAGTTGTCCTGTGTTATTTTACAATCAGCTGTAATGGTCAGGTCTTCTACAGTTCTAAATCTGCTAATGCATTTCCTACTTCTTAAAAAAAAAAAAACGTTTTGTTAAATGCCACCAACTTACTTAGACTTAGATCCTCCCGCGCCCATCGGCGCATCGGGCGAGAAGAGAGCGCCATTGAACTCGGTCCATCGCGGCAGTTGTTGCTTCATCCCATGACAGTTTGGCTGAGCGTAAATCTTCAAGGAAAGTCCTCCTCCATGTTATTTTGGGTCTTCCTCGCCGTCTCTTTCCATTCTTCGGGTTCCACAGAACCGCGACACGGGCAGGTCTCGGGTCCGGTAGCCGAAGGATGTGACAAATCTGAACCGAAGCTTGGTGACTTGGACATGGAGCAGCTCTACTCCCGCACGGCGATATACTTCCTCATTGGTAACGCGATCAAACGCCACCAAAACATGCAGTAACTTACAGTTTATTTGAAAATGAAATTATGAAACTGAGATGTAAATACATTGCACCTAAATGAATATGTGCAAAGTATTTATTACATAACACAAGTTGTGATGGACTGTTATTTATATCTTGTTATTTTTATCTTGCTGCCACATAATACTAATGTAGTAGTGAGTAATAGTCACTGCAGGCATCCACTTATCCTTCATTTTCATTGCCCTGACGATCCATGTATGAACTCAGTTGTTCAGAGATATTCCTGCGTTTTTGTGTTGTCCACGTTTGGTTCCCGTTATTTGTGTGTGATGTTTATTAGCTGCAAACGGAAATGATTTGAACTGATGTAGTCTGCGGTACTCTATTAATTTAACTGGGTGGGCATAGATGATCCTGAAAATGTGTGCAGATTTTGAAAGTTATATAAACAGTCAGTGTTTTATCATGAACATGGATCAGTTTAATTTAAAAAAAAAAAAAAAAACTTTAAAAGATTATTGTTAATGCTGACAGTATAAGTTCGCAGAAATTGGAATACACCAAAATCATTTTTATGTGTATATTAGGGCTGCAACTAAAGATCAGTTTAGTCGTCGACTTATCTGCCAATTTTTCTTTGATTAGTCAAGGATTATCTCAGTAATAATAATAATGGATTGGATTTATATAGCGCTTTTCAAGGCACCCAAAGCGCTTTACAATGCCACTATTCATTCACTCTCGCATTCAGACACTGGTGGAGGCAAGCTACAGTTGTAGCCACAGCTGCCCTGGGGCAGACTGACAGAAGCGAGGCTGCCATATCGCGCCATCGGCCCCTCTGGCCAACACCAGTAGGCGGTAGGTAAAGTGTCTTGGACACAACGACCAGGACAGAGAGCCCGGGAATCGAACCGGTGACCTTCCGGTACAGATACGCTTCCCAACCCCCTGAGCCACAGTTGCCACAGTAACTCTTATCTTCACTTCCTGTGGGCAAACCTCTTCGAGGCTCCAGTACCTCACCTGCTCAAGTCTGCCCACCTGTGAATATCACCCTGTTGACTCCTCCTACACCAAATGACCCAAGAAGCATAAGACTTTGAAAATAATCAAATGTATTTTCAACATTACCCAAAAGGACCGCCAGAATAAAAATGAAATAAAATAATATTTAGGAATGTAAATTGCAAAGAGACAAAAGATGCGTTTTTTTCCCCCCCAAGTCCCAAAAAACAAGTTTCTAAAGTTTTCAGATGATTAATTCACGATTACAGTGCACATGCTCCGAGTGAGGTTTGTTCTCATCTTTTGAGCTGCTGATAACCACATTAAAGATGCTGTCTGTCATGACTTCAGCCATTTGAGAGGTGCAAGAACCTTGTTTCAGGACAAACTCATCTATACGCCAGTGGGTAATACTAGGTAAACTGAACAAAGCAGAATTAGAAAATACTGTTACTTATGTTACTATGTATATCATACTTTCTCAGATGGTGTAGTGTTCAGTGCCAATTAAACAGTTCAATTGATGGTCAAACCCACAAATTAACTACCTAACGTTAGGTAGAAAAGGTTTACTATTCAGACTATTTAGCCATGGCTACCTGAGGATTTTGCTTTTCATGATCTGATTTATTCAGGTGTCTTGAGATGAGCCCCCTGTGGGTTGTTTTGTGACTTAGTTATGTATAGTTTCTTTTACCATCTGATTGGTGAGTGCTGCACCATTGTTTGTCTTTCTATAAGGTCCTCCCAGCATTACAAAGGAAATCTAGATGATCTTCATTGTCAAACTGAAGTTCATCATTCTCAATTCCAATTAATCAGTTTGGTTGTGTGCTCAAGTCTATGAAGACTCTGCTTACAAACATCTTCCCTGTGAGAATGATGGAGGCTAACATGATCTGGAAACTTATAATGGTGCTGACATTGTATCATTCCTCAAATTAGTCTTTGGAAACAGTCCTGTTTCACAGGTCTGTGTAAATATTTCAAGGCTGGGTCATGGCTTAGTTTTCACTATGACTTACTTTATCAGCTTTGAGACCTTATAGGCAAACAGTGTCCTTCCCAGATTATTCAGTGAATTGAATTAGGGTCACATGAGGTCTTAACAAGTTGAAGCACATCTTCAGGGCGATCTTAGGATACACATAAGCTCAAGTGTGAATACCTACTTAAATGGGATATTTCTGTGCAAAGACATCATTTTTGCATTGTCACTGTGGATGAAGTATTGTGTGTAGATTGAGGGGGGTCCATTGTAAAGATAAGTTCAGACATAAAATGCTGAAAACGCCCTTTTTAGTAGAGAGAAGATGTAGTCATCCATAAACCAGATTCTTATTGCCCTGTTCTAAGAACTACATGACAGTCCACCAACATTGGCAGACATGAGGTTAGAGCCAGGATGCACAAGCTCTAATGCCATTTTAAGTTTCCATTGACTGTTCCAGGTTCTCAGTAAAATCAAATTTGATGCAAATTGGTTTATCTGTTTTGTTTTGTTTTTTCATCATATTTCAGGTGGAGAAGGAGCGAAGAAAAGAGGGTCTTCCACTCGAGGACAGGTAAGCTTATCAGCTAAAACTGAATACCTAGGTAGAGACTTGCCAACAAGATGCATGATGGCCAACAAATAACAAACCTACATAGAGATCTTGTCATACATAAGGGTTTCTTTAGCAGGGTGCAAATTAAAATTCTACTGTACGCTGTACATTTAAAGATGTTGCGTCAAGGGATTTGTGTAATATGCAGCGTTAAACTGTAGCTGCTGGGTGACGTGTTTTTTTCTCTTCACACAGACAAATGATGCAGTGTGGTTTCAGTGTAACTAGCTTGAAGTCTTTGCCTGCATGCAGGCTGTGTTGTTTATTTTGGTGAGTGAGGGGGTGTGATGGAGAGAGTTTGGGGGCGTGCGTTACAGAGGCACAGAACCAAATTCCTGCCTAATTTTAGAACTCCTTGAAAGAAAAAGGAGGGGAGCTCTGTCTTTCCCATCTGTTTCTGTTCCTGCTTAAAACTGGTTGGAAAAATAGACGTTTTCTTCAGAATCTCAACAGTTCATAGTGTTGCTCACTATCAGGCTAGTGGTGTTGATGGCTGCTCAGAAACGGAGCAATCTTGAGGCGTGTTCAGTTGCACTTGTAAATATTTTCTTGCCTTAGCCTTCTTGGTTATCTTTCCAAAAATAATTGTTGAGCAGAATAAATGTCAGTAAAATCTCTAGTGCCTATGCTGGTTCAGTACAATCTCTGAGACTGTACTGATTATCTTTAAGGCAGTGTTTCCTGCCTTAAAGATAAGATTTTTTTTTTTTGATAACTGTTCAATTATTTGTTCTGCTTATCAGTGTGTTCCTAATCAAGTCTCATGATCCCTGATTTCTTGAATTATCTGCGTGTTTTGAAAAAGGCGTACATGTTTTCTCTGTCACGGTCTCTGAATGGGTTTTGTTTGCTGGGAGCTGACGGTCTAGTCAAACTCACTGTGGATGGTGAGCTCATTGTAGCAGTTTAGTTTGAATGAATCAAATGAGAAAGTACTTTCTGTTTTTCTCTCCAAATAAAGAAACCTTCTAAGGCTGCTTTGTGGAGCTAATGCATTTATGACATAGCATATCTGGCCTCTGTCCTGCACATTCTTTGGTTTGCACTCATGCAAAGAGAGTCAGATACATGGCAGTCCAATGTTCCCAGAAAGGTGTTTTCTTCCTGTCTTTACTCAAAGTGATTATTTTACTGGCACAACTAGAAGCATTTTTTGTTTTCTTGGAACCTAAAGCAAGGTCCCTGATATGAGTTTGGAAGTAAGGAGATAAAATGGAGAAAAGGAAGGGTTTGCAAAGAAAGAAAAGATGCATGCTGCATATTATTGGATATCAATAGGACACAAATTTAAAAGATACTAGAGCTACTTTGGTCACATAAACATAGTCTTCCTGTTTCAGAATGACAGATTGCTTCTAAATGGGAATCATCATATTTATTTGAAAGATCCAAACACCAGGAAAAATGTTTGTGGAATATGCAAGGTACTTGATCAAATCGTTTGTAATTGGTTGTCAGGTTGAAGAAATTCTCAATTCTTTGTACCATTTTAATATTGGGTTGATTTTGATGCTACCTTACCACAGAGACATTTCAGTGCACTCGTCAGCATCAGCATGCAGTAGTTTAGTAAATTAATTTAATATTTGCAATAGAAAGTGTCTGAATAGACCACATATGGAGTTTAGCAGGCAACTTAATTAATTTAGTAATATCAAAATAAATATATTTTTATATCATGCAGTCAGTGTTGATTATTAAAAAACATTATCACTAAAACTTTTGTTAAAATAAATAGCTTTTAGCCAATGCCAGCTTTCATAAACGTGAAAGACTAAATCTGTAGCTGTTTTAAATTGACAAGCATCTCGAGGTTAATGTGATTTGCATGTAGACAGCAGTTGGTGAACAGTGTGGGAATATGACTATTTTTAAATCTTGAGAGGTGAGAAGCAAAAGAGGCTTTGCAGTTCTGGTTGACCTCAAGACCTCCTGAGCCGTGAGGCCTCTCGTGCCTGGGTTATCAGGCACTTGCCAGGCCTGCCGTCACCCTCTCCCAGCCTAAAGAGCAAAGCAGGCAGCATATGCAGAGGTTAATGATATCTCTGTCTGTGCTCTTGTGCGTCAAAATATCTTAGTCCTACATCCTTCTCTTTTTAGGCCTTTTTACTTTATTCTCCACCAGGATCATTTATGATACTGCTTTATAGAGGTATACTGTTAATACTGTGGCATGTGGATTTAACGTCATTGTCAGTTGACACGTCTGTGAATAAAGTTGATCTAAACCCTTGTCTAGTCCTAACCCTTTCCCTGGATCGTGGCTCAGGTCACTGCTAACACTGACTTTATTTGAGTTAGATCCAAGAGCTCAAATAGCACCAAACATAACCTGTTATTTTTGTACTGTGGCAGTGGACAGAACCCTGAGACTACAGCTCAGTGGTGTGCTTGTTAAGAGGCTGGTTTTTCTTCATGGGCAGCTGCTTTTGAATTTACAACAAATTCCAAGTTCCTAATGCACATGACAAGGTAAAAGCCCCCAGCTAACCTTTGAAGATCTGAACGAAGCCTGACACTACTCACCACTACAGAGAGAGGAGTGTGTTTCACTTTGCATTTTAACATTTGTTCAGAATTTTTGCAGAAGTTAACATTGTTCTGCAGGTGGTCTTTTAGTCCGAGTCAGTAGAGAAGTGTGCTTTTAATTATATGAATAGCTATGAGGTGAAACTGTTGACCTTGAAACAACAATGCTAGCCATGGCACGGCACTCCTCTGTACAAGCACACAACCTCATTTCCCTTTCACATTTGACCCCTCATACACTCACCCACACACTGTTTTTCCACTTTGAGTAAGACTGAAATGATACTGTTTAACAGGCTAGAGATTAATAAACAATTAGAGCTATACTGAACGTGACAGGGAAGCCCTTATTATGTAATGCAATAGGCATTGTTCCTCTGAACAAGCCACAGCCAGTTCATCTGTGGGTTTTTTTTATATTATTTGTGCCTTCATTCTTTCTTTAACTCAGTATTTACTTGACATCCATTTACACGTGTTTCTCTGTGAAACACGTGTTCTCTGTGTCACTGTATTGCTACACCACCTTCAAGAGAAGGTGTAGCATCTGAATTCTGCAGTTATCACAATTACTGTGCTCTGCTGATACGTTGATAGTCATAAAGAGCTAATTTTATGGGGTCTGAATGTGGTTTTTAAGAGGACTGGACCCAGCAGAACCAATAATTTTATTTTCCCTCCCGTTTACTCGTTTAATACATTCATGCAGAACATTGCTGGTAATTATGAAATTGTATGTCCATCTATTCATTCACACTGGTTGATAGTTGCATCATTGCCGGTTTAGTCAAGTTGGGGGGAGCATTTTTTCACACTTGGGATGTTTTTGCATCTTCTGTTTTAACAAGTACAGCATCAGATTTCCTGATTCTCCATTTTACTGTCAAATACTTGTATGATCACAACATTTGTATCTGCCAATGAAAATGGTGTTCGACAGAGTTGGTGCCTTTTTATATTTATATTTGTGACCTTTTGCAAACTCCCAACACGCGTTATGAATAATGGGCGTTGTTTAGTTTAGTCTGAAATAAACTGTTGTTGTTTACATATCCTTCTCTTTGCACCTACTGATTGGCCAGAGGGTAGAGTAGAAAAGATAAACAGTTCCTTAAGAGCAGATTTGTTATTTCACCTGTTTCTCTTCAGCTACCTGTGTATAAAAGTGTTGTGGACCTGAGTGTAAAATCAATCATGGCTTTTTTCAACAACACAGCATGTTAAGTTTGTAATTTTTCCACTCAGCAGTAAACACTGTTCACCAAAACCAAAGGTACAGACCTTCCTGTAAACCGTGGCCATCTTCAGTGTGTGATCATTTTTGCACAGGGTCCTCTTGCTTTGACTGTGCGCCAATTGTTCTGAACTTTGCTTAATTTTGGACTTGGGGAAGTATTCAGTAGTCAGTCAGTAACCCCTAAAATCCCAAATCCCATGATTTCCAGGAGAGAGAAATGCCTTGTGGATATCTTGGTGTCCCAGTAGACCTGTTGCTTCATCATCATTTTTTTTTCTTTAAAAAAATAGCTTTAAGAGTTATTAATATGTTCACCTTTAAAAAGAGCAGCCAAGGACAAACAAAAATTACGCTAACACTGAGTCAGATCTGTGAGAAGAGGCTTGACATCAGAAAAAGAGCAGACTCAGTCAAAGTACTTGTTACTTTTAAAGAGAAAATAAACGCGTGTCTTAAAAATTCTTTGTTATCCTTGTGGTGTTTTTAGTGACGGTCCATTTTCTGACATCAGATACACAACACAGCTCTGCGCTGCTTACAAAGTGGTTTTCATTTGGTCTGTTGTGTATTAGCACATATGTTGCCCTTATATAGAAGTGAGCGTCTTCAACCTCTAGCTGTGTTGTGAGACTTAGAATGTGGCCACACCAGCAGCTCAGTCACTTCCTCTCCTGCACCCATGCTTGCGTGCTGTGATAGCAGACCCCATAATACTATAAGTAGTTGTGGTAGATGGCCATCTGTGACTGATATGAGGAACTGGTACTAACATAACCAGCAGTTTGTGGGATATTCTCTCCAGCTACAATGGCCAGCAGAAGATGCCACCCCTTTTGTGTATCTCTAACAAAATCTAGCTTGCCCAGTTGGTGTGTGTGCATATAAGGAAGTATCGCTGAAGGACAGTAGTTGTTGTATGAATTGACCATTTTCAGTATTACTCTCCTGCATTGTTTACTGTACGTACACTTGGCAGTGTATTTTGTTGGTGTTACAGTCATTATTTGGGGCTATAAAACATTTAGCTTCCATATATTTACTAATATAAGCTGGATGCTTTTTTCTGTTGACGAAATGACTCAGTTATTTAGTCTGGAGAGCAAACAGTGCACATCAGAATGAAAACATGTTTCCTAGCTCAGGATAGAGCTACAGAAATATAGTAAACTGAGGTAAATTAAAGATGTATATGATCTGAACTATGCTGTTTTGTTTTTCAGCATACAGCGGGATGTGCGATGTATCTTGTGGACATGAAATTCACTGCTCACAGGCACTGTTGCCATTATTTTGAGGGCGTTGGCTTTACTGATAAGATGGCTGTAAAATAGCAGTGTCACTCTCCCTTCCTTACTTTTTTGGTGTTTAACTTTGGTCCTTTTAGCAGAGTTTTAGAGTCGCGTTTTTTATGTGTATAAATACTTTGAACGTTATCATATCTGAAGACAAAGTTCATCCCTGACAGCAGAACAACAGAGTTCAGCATGAGCCCAGGTTTTGGAAAAAACAGTTTGTGACCAAATGACAACAAAAAAAAATTGCTTGTTTTCCAAAACTCAGATGCAATAATTTGGTGGTACTCAAGCTCCGTACTGTCAATAAGAAAATAGTCAAAGATATTTATATTATGGGGTATAAATAAAAATAAAATGAATAATGTCCATGAGGACGAGTGCAATAAATGTCTTTGTTTAGAAAAAAGTATATCTGTATTGGCACTTTACAGAAGCAACAATGACTTCTGCATCTGCAGATGTATTTTTAGAAGTATTGATTGCTTACTCATCACATCTTTCACTTGTCACTAAATCTGACAAACGCTCACAGTTATTCATTTAAAATACAGTCTTTGTTTCTTTGATCTACAGTTTTTGAAGATCCTAAACGATTGTTTATGAGCTTTGCAACTTTTCTGTGTTCAGTCAAATGCACAAATGGTAACAGTTTGTTTTTGCTTGTTTTTCTTTTGATCAACAGCTCCTCCCCGTATATGCAGGAGAATGGGAAGGCTTTGCATTTTCAGCCTCCAGTGTTAGAGTTTGGGACCCAGTAAGTGCTGCTCTCACTTTCTGCTTTAATATTTCTATCCAAGCATTGCTGTTAATATTGTACTGAAGAGGATGACAGCTTTAACTATATAGTCAGCAGCATAAGACAAGGGGAAAATGTGATTTGATTTTGCAATGTCAAATGAATGATGTGAAAACCCAACTGAGTTATTTTAATGTAGAGCTAAAGCAAGCCAGTGGTGTCATCTGTCACTGTGATGAATACTATAGAAGGGAGCATTTCATAAACTGAGGGCCCTTCATTGTTAGAATAGCCAAGTATGTCAGTCAGTTTGGTTTTCCAGCATCCAGACACACTGCAGAGGGTTGAACCCTGCCAGATGGGGTTAAGAACTTGTTTGCCTTGATACTCCCAAAACACACGGTCTATTAGGCACAATACTGTGGTTGCACAGCAGTCCCCATTGCTTCTGCTTAAAGGTAAACAGTCACAAGCAGCTTTTATTAGTTCATATTTTATGTCATAGATTTGTAATGCAGAAGGCAAAAGATATCCTAGTATTAGATACATATTTGGACACTAGAATGAAATTGCTTCTGGGAGTTACAATTAATTTTAAAATAGTACTATAAGACTCACCATCCACTCACCATTTTGTGGTTTCCTTTTTATACATGAGTTGTGGGATAACGTTGTGGTTCTAACAGTAACACTGACTCAAATCGGTTGATATATGTGGCCAAAGAGAACAAAAATGAACATGCTCATAAGAACAACAAAGTACATTTGAGCACGGGAACTGCAAGTGATGCAAACCGCACCAAGCACTGTGTTTTATCTTAAGCATGCTGGAGTGCCTAGTTTGGCATTTCAAACAATCTTAATAGAGCGTGGCATTTTGATGTGGTTAAGAAGATCATGTTTGCCAATATCAAGAGTATTTTTGTGCCTCTTGGTGATAATTTGGCATTACATGTAGTCCATACATGTTTGATCAGGCTGATGGTTGGAAGAAAAAATAGAAACGATTTATTTTGACCACAGTCTCGCTTGATTTAAATTCTGCTATACATGCAGTTCATTTGCCTAAAATGAAAGTAAAGTCGCTCTGACTGACAAACAGGAAGCAAAAGATGCTTCATTTGAGGCTTGGGAAATGTCTCAAATGAAGAGTCTGGTAATATGAAGAGTTTCATGATTTTCTGCTGCAAATTGTCTTTTTTTTTTCCCCCAGCCCGTTTTTAAAATTGTCTCAAATTATATACTGTAATGCCATATTGTGTAGTTCTTTATATAGATCTCTAAATGAAACCTTTTCATAATTGTTCAGAGCTGAGGTGCCTCTGTTTGTGTGCATTTCACTCAGGACAACTACAGGCGAGTAAAATAGCTTTTCTCTCTGCATTCATTTGTTGTGAGACAGGAGCATTCATACTCATGCATATACAGAAGAGAGCAGCAGACATGACGTGGATTATTTTAAACCCAGCATGGAAAGGAGGAGCTGGGTTGGAGGTGGAGTTCAAACGAGCTTGCAGAGGTGGCAGCAGCAGCTGTACAGAGACTAAAGCGACTTAAATACCCCACTTACTCAATTTGCCATTCAGATGTGTAGACAAGTATGAGCTAAGTAACAGAGTCATATCTTACTCTTCTTACAATTTTAAAATAAGTCTTATGTAGTAATTCACTTTATGTCAGTGCATAACTTGCACTTCTAATTTTAAATCGGTAAAAATAAGACCCCTGTCTTCCTGAGCTTCCCCCGCAGAGAAGGAAGAAGCCGTTGTATACTTTGTTCTACCTGCGATGTTGAGCAGAAGAGACACACAAGATGAAACGAGTGGCAAAATGTCAGTAAATCCTACTACACTGAGACTGCACTTTGCAAACAGCTTTAAAGGGATGGGTTCAAATGCACTTACCCGCACATGCAGTTGGTCCGGCTACCAAACATTTAATAGAAAGGCTCAGATTACAGTTCACAAAACGGGAGCGTGACTTTGTTCTCTGCTGAGAATGACTTTACGCCACTATATGTTGTCAGTGCAAATGGGTTATATTACAAACTGTTTAAGCTGCTCTTAACTTGATCTGTACATGCACAGCTGCACTGCTCTGATCAAACGGAAAGACTGTGGAGGAAAAACAAAACCAGTAGTACTTGGAGCAGAGTGGGGTCAAGTGCTGTTTGCTCAATGATTTCTGCTACCACATATCAAAGAATAAAACCGCTGTCAAGTGAAGCCAATGAAGGAAAGAGATGCACTGTGAAACCTTTTGTCATTATCATATTATCACATTGTAATGTATGTTAAACAAATGCTTGCTGGCCCAACAGGCTGAACATTATGTAAAACATGTTCTCAAAAGCCCACCCCCCCTTTTTTTTTTCTTTTTTAAATGAGAAAAAAAAGTCATGTGAGTATTGATCTGCCTAGTAATGGGACCTAGCTCTCTTTACCTGTAAGACTGTCAGCTTTTAAGTTGTCCCACTTCAATTATACACAGGTAAAATAACATTAACATCCTTCATGACAGAAGGTGTTATACAGATGTGTGTAACTCTGAAGTGCCCTAAAGTGCTTGTGCGAAGGGCAGGGTAGGAGGTATTCACCTAACACAAAACCCTAGGAAGCGTCATGTGACTGTAATAGATTAAAAGTGGCCAGACTGAGAGAGTTTGTTTGATATAACAGCCAGCTTTTCATAGCCTTCCTTATTTGCTTATTTGTGTATGTATGTGGTTTTAATTCTCACAGTGGCAGCTTGTTTGGATACAATAAAAGAGCTCATACATGTTACTCATCTTTTCCATGCAAATCATTTGAGTTTCCTCTTACAGCTTCCCTGTATTGACAGAATGCAAAATGCTACTGATCTACTGCAGAGGATCAGAACTATGAGGCTTATCTAAATTATTATGGAAGAATTTGTAAACATAAGACTTAACAGTGGACAAAGGATTAACTTTCATATAAGTGCAAAGGCTTGAGTGTGACCGTCTTTGCTCAGCTCCACTGGTCTTGCTCAGCTTCATATTATAGCTTTAAACCTGTTATTATTTGGGATCGAGAAATGTGGTTTACATAATTAAACATCATGTAAAGAATCTCCCAGGGTACGCTTTCAAAACGATGCATTTTTAAATAAACGTTCAAGCACACCCAACTTTCTCAGGGAGCAGCAGGGCGATCTAAGGTATGCAGGGATGTTTGAATATTCTTATAGATGTGTATGTAGTGAACTATAATGATGTGTACCTCCATTTATTCAGCTAGCCATGGCACTCCTGTAACTCACTAGGGAATCCTAACGTTCTCGTGTGTGTCTTTACAGGCCGCTGGGGCTGCCAAGAGCTGAAACCATATATATACACAACCCCAGTCAGGAAGTTCCTGTCACACTGCTGTCAATGTTTACTTCCAGCAGGCATTTTTACATACCTTCCTTTCACAGAAGAGTAAGTCCGTAGAAGATTCTTAACAAGTAATGATGCTTAGAAATAATTGCAATTGAAGTAAAATGTGTATCTTGTTCAAATAACTTATTGCTTCGTGTTTTCTCTGTGCCCAGGTGATCCCTCCTAGGGGGAAGGCATCTTTTAAACTAATTTTCCTCCCGTCTGAGGAGGGCAATATAGAAAACACATTATTTATAAACACATCGGCCCATGGGCTGCTGTCATACCAGGTGAGTTGCAGACGTGTTTTTTTTACCCTCACTTCGTGTCTCCAGATAATGGGATAAGCATTTGCTTACTGTTTGCATGCTATTGTTTTATCGCAGTATGTGTCCTTGTATGAGCTTACAAACAGTCTCGGTCATGTCAGCTTTTGTTTTTCTCTAAGAAAGTGTTATCCAAAATAGAAGCTGACCAGACTGCTGGTTTCATGCTTGCTTCGTCCCACGTGCACACGCTCACACGCAAGTCAAAACGCTGATCTTTGTGCCATTAGAAAGTTGAGCATGCAAATGATGTTTTATTCAAAAATTGTTTGCAAAGCATGGCTGAGGCTAAAGAAATAAAGAGAAATAATGCTGGTAGGAGAAAGCGTTTATTTATTCAGGGCTCCACTGTTACCTCGAGGTGGAAAGCACGCTGGTTTCATAAGTTTTTTTTGTTTGTGTATTTGAGGCTTTAATTATTTCACTGAAAATGTTTTTGCTTTTTACTGCAACTCTGCAAGCTCGAGTTAAAGTAGATTCCTACAAGGAGAAGAAAAATAAAGTCTGGTTGTGAGACCACTTTAGGGTTTATCTAACCTCAGCTTGCTTAAATACTGTAGCCTTTGGTTAGCTTTGTCAGAGATGTTTGCCTTTCAAGGCTCAGCTTAACTGAAAATTGTGTCACTTGCAATGCTTGCTGTATTTAAAGCGGGATCAGTTAAGTTGTAAGTTGGATGTCAGACATAATTGGGCTCTACACTGAAACCAAAGCATGCAGAGACTGCCCACAGAAATCCAAAAGTCTTAAGTCTGTAATGACGGTTGTCATAGGCAAGTCTCGACACTCGACAGCCATCTTGGCAACTCCTCTGGCATTTATTTATCACCAACAAAACTCAGTTTCCTGGTTCGATTATTATTAAGGAGTGGCTTTGGGATTAAGGGTGTTCACAGGCTGCTATTATTATCACAGCAGCAATATCAGAGTTTGACTTTATTTCAGGATATAATCAGGATCAAGCGGTCACACCTGTGATTTTAAAAAAGATACCATAAAAACTTCTATGTGAAATTAAAGTTTGCAACAGTGCCACAACAACGAAGCAAACATGAGCCAATAACATGCCACTGTCTTTAATACAGTAATGTTTGCACTTGATAGTTTTGCATAATTTTCTTCATAGTTTAAACATATAGTGGAGCTATATTCAGTCAGTTTGCCTTTATTGTTTTTGAGTTCTTCCGTGTGCATTCAGACTGGAATAAATCATCCCAAACACTCGTATTTGTTGATGACACTTGTTTGTGTACTTGCTGACGATGTTTCTTAGTATAAATGTATAAATGTTAACTGCTTGTTTTTCAGGTATTTGGTGTGGGAGAAGACCAGGGATCGTTAAAATCTGTCCAAAGAAAGGATAGTCTGCTAATATTCCCTCACATCCAGAGCATTAAGCTGACCCAAACTCAGGTACTTTCTTGAATGTCTCTGTGTTTTTCTGTGGAGGACACACAGAGTATTGAATAAGAGCTCATCATTGGAAACAGCTGATTTTCCACTTTCCTGCCAACGCTGATAAACAAAATTGGCAATTGCAAAGATACAAACAGGAGCTTTGTTATGCACACTGGCATGAGCTGGGTCTTATTAAATTATGAATGTGTTTGGCGTCAGCATAAAACTTGATAAAGGAAAAAGCTTCTTTTTTTTAACATTTTTAATTAAAATGTTAATGTTTGCTTCCAATGTAACAGACACTTGATTTCAAATCAAATTAGCCACACAGAAGCATTCATTCGTACACGCTTCACAGCGACGCAAAACCGAAAACCAATGAACAACTTCTGTATAGTTTTTGAAACAAGCTGAGGCAGTGAAAGTGTGTGTCTGTCTTTGTCTGTGTGTAAGAGGCATCTGAAAGGCGTGTCCGCCTCCACAACAGGAAGTGGGGTGGCAGTTGCAAAATGTCAGCTGAGCGAAGTGCAGAGACTTGTGTTCACTCAGTCACACAAACGGCTGCCAAAGCTACATGCATGATTTTTTTTCTTTCTATCTCTCCCCCACAGCGTTCATGTAAATGTGTATTTCTTTTTCTTCTTATCGCACACAAATTGTAACATTTGCACCAACCTTACAATTTTTTGCAACATTTTTTTTTCTTTGTGGTGTTATGCTTCATGTTGTAGCCGATGTTTAAGTCTTTTTAGTGCCGTTTAGGTTCTTATTCCATGTTATGTGCATATGAGGTTGAAAAGGTGTTTTTCACTCTGTCTTGCAACTTTGTAGTGACTTCCCTATCTGAGCTCATTCCCACTTTACACATAATTGCTTAAGCACTTCAGTGCCAGGACTTTCAGTTTTGTTCTGTTCTGTTGCTTAAAGTTCAGCTCAGATCTGTAATTAGGTACATGCATGTATGCTTACTTTTACTTGATGTTCTTTTGTCACACCTTTCCCAAATCAGCAGCTCTAAAATCAGTGTAAACAAAGTGGATTGGTCATTGTTTGTTTATTTACCTTGAAAAAGTGTGGTCTTTATACACCAAATTGTTGTACTTTAAAATATCAAAGTGCAACTTCAAGAAAGCTGCTCTAAACTATGTATCCTGTTGTTCACCTGTTGGGATTGCAGTACTGCAATGCAAATGCTTTTACAGCAAGTAAAAGAAAAAGGCTGTTTAACCTGTGACGATTGCTGTTGCTCTTGCAGGAAGATGCCTCCAACATCACTATACTGGGTCTACTCCTGGAGTGCAGCTTACCGAAGAGTTGGAACAGTCCACAGGTAATTTGTCTCCATCTGTTTCAGTAGTTGTCGAGCCTTTTCAGCTGACACGCTGCTCTGGAGAATCATGTTTTACAAGTACAGGGATTCGCGTGCCTGGATTTTAGCCCTCTGAATTTAGAGGTTCTGGGAAGATCTTGGCACATTACTCCAGCTCAGAATGGTTTTAAACACATCTGAAAATTCAGCAGCTTCTCTCAAGCACTGTTGTTGATTTTAAAAATCCTAGATATTCTTGCTTTCTGCATTTGAAAATATCAAAAGAAAAGCACCATGCTATGAAAAGAAGCTTAGGGCAAACTTTGTGGAAATAAGGAGAAATAAATAGAAAGGCAGTTAGCCGCGTACTTGATTTTTTTACGATGTGTGATCTTGCACCATTTTTAGTTCACCCCTACTTAGCAAAATCGGAGCTGAGCTTCACTCCTCTTGAGCAGAAGGCCTGCCAGTCTTAAACTTCCAACAGACAGCCGGGCTCGTCATCTGAGTGCCTTCTGTTTTCTACAGAAGCCCTGAGGAGAGGGAGATCTCTTGCCAGGCTTTTAATTGCTTTCTCAAGAGACCTTATAATCGAAGAAGTGCACATGAAATGAGAGAAGACGGCTGCAGACACAGACAACTACGCTGTCATATTAATACAAACTGAAATCTTCCTCGTGTGCTGTGGCGTAAGTGCCCCGGCTGTAACTTTTGGCTCGTATCCAGGACCGACACCTGCTGCTCAGTTCTTTTTCAAGTCTACTTGAACAAAATGGGCTTTGGGTCGGAGTCGCGGCTGCGTTCAGATCAAATGAGCCCAACAGAAAGTTAGCAGCAGTCTTGGTTTCATGGGATTAGTTTTGCTTTTGCAGGCCTTGATCCCCCAGTGGCACCAAGCCATAGTATCTGTCTGCAGTTCGTCAAGTGGTGATTCACCCACTGAGACGATCCCTGGTTTGTAGTGAGATTTGCACTATCCCACTACTGATCTGTCAACTTTAAGAGGGTGTTAGTAACAGGGAGGGTGGTAGCAGTTAACAGACAGGCAAAAGTGGGCAGCTAAGTCAGGGTATGTATTTAGTCTCTGTTCCAACTTGCTGGATTTTGTTTTAAATTCTCAGATTACTCGTCATTGTTCATGTGCTCCTTATTTTGTCCTTGTGTTTGGTGCATGACTGTATGCTTTTCCTGTTCTGTCCCAGGGGTCCTGCCTCCAAAGCGAGGAGCGTCTCAGTCTGCAGATTAACCTGTCGGCGCGCGGTGACCAGCCTGCTGACCTGGACAAGCTCAAGCCCTATGTCATTGAGCACATTTTGGTCCTACTGGTGGCCCCTGCTGCTGAACAGGATGCATTCGGTGGGTGTCTGCGACCTTTCTGATTCATGCCCTGAAGGCAATTCACACCGCAAGCGCGCCACGCTGCACGACCTGACTCTGACTGTCGTTCATAAAACAGTACTTCAGTATGAAAAGAGAAACATGCACTGGTATTTTATTTATTTATTTATTTCAGCCTACACATGAATTACATCATTGAATGTTTGTGTGGTGAAGCTCTATCAAAGCAAAATAATATTTCCTTTTTAACAGATTTAACCATAACAGAGCTTCTATATTTCCTGTGGAGTCGCTTCCATTTTTTAAAACATATTAGTTTAACTAGAGAAGGAATACAATTAAAAGACTTTGATTATTTTGCCGTTTTGAAAGAACCGTCTAATGAAAGGCATGGGAAATATGACATCAGTCCTGATTTTGTTTTCTTTCTCTGGTTTTTGCACCAAATCAGCGGTGAAGGTTCAAATTATTTTGGCCACAGTTGTGTACACAGCATCAGTGTACAGTTCCTGTGATTAGTTCGAACCATTATTGTTTTTCAGAACCGCTTTCTGAAGTATTTTATTGCACTTACCTGTTTTCTGATGTCGCTTTGTTTGAGCTGTCATCCTCATTCTGTTATATTACACATGAATCACATTTGTATACATTATTCTCATTCCTCTTTGCTTCTTCCAACAGGGGAATCAAAAATAAGAGTTTATATGTTAAATTCTGGAGGGAAGAAGCTGTATATAAAGGTGAGAGTTCTGCCTTGTTGTACAACAGTCAGCGAGTAGAATTATTGCAGCTCTAAAACGTTGTTTTATGTCTCCAGGACATGCAGGTGCTATCAAAAGTAGAGGCTAGCTTGGACTTTAATCAGGTTCTTCTGACACCAGAAGCAAAAAACTTCACTGAAGTGGCTACACTGGCCTGCAGAGGTGACTACCTATTTAAGTTGCAATAGTTTGCTCTAAGCCCGTACCGATTCTTCTGAGTGAAATTGTATTTGTATTTTCTATCAGGCTCGTTGCCTGGCCTCGACCAGAAATGTATAAGTCATATCAGTTTGAAAATTATGGGAAACAGGACAGCCTACAGCTTCCCTGGACTACATGTTCCACACAGGTAACATGGAGGAATTTTGTAATCATCACAATAAACGTATTTCTGATCTGAAGCAGCGTAGCCCCAGAAATGGTTCATTTAAAAGTGTTTTTAAGGTACTAATAAACACAGACAAGTATATCAATGTATATCATCTATGTTTTCCTTCTGTGGTCATTTTTATACTAATGTTTTTATTTCTTTCTTCAGATGGCCTGTTGGGGATTTGTTCAGCCTGTTCCAGATGAAACAAAGAGCTGCTAACCAGGTGGACTTGTGGCTCAGCAACCCCTTCCCTGTGCCTCTCATTGTGTTGAATGCAAGCCTCTCAGAGAAGCTGCAGGGGGTAATGAAGGTAGGCATGCACTACTGCAACATGTGATGATAGGATGCAGTTTTTATCACATGATGATCAAATTTTCGCATAGATTTTGACCTGTAACAAGTTATTCATTCATCACATTGATTCTAAACAAAGTGGAAGATTTAACAGATTATCTCTTCTGCCCCCTGTCTGTCAGGTGATGAACTTCAACACTCCACTGACAGTTCCTCAGGGCTGCTGGCACATCCTGTCCCTCCAGCTGCTCAGCAGGGCCCTGCCTGTTAACCAGGTCTCCACCCTGAGTCTGAATACCAGCCTGGGCACAGCACTGCAAGTTCCACTGTACTTCCATCCTAATCCTTCCAAGGTAAAATAGCAGTTTCAGTGGTGAGTAGGTAGTGTGTTTGGTTCGGGCATTTGTGTAGAAATTAAAAGTTGTATGTTTGCCATCAGGGAGAGGTGGTGTTTGAGGCGGAAAGCGAGTGTGGACGTCCTTGTCCTCTTAGACTATCTGAAACAGGTAAAACTTCTTTCTTTCTTTCTTTCTTTCTTTCTTTCTTTCTTTCTTTCTTTCTTCCTTTCTTCCTTCCTTCCTGTGATGGAAGACGTTATGATCCAAGTTATTTTCTGGTGTGTTTTATTAGGTCGCTCAGAGTGGCAACGCTCTCTTCTTCCAGATTTTTCCCACTCGTCTTGGGCTGTGGACAGCAAACTAGCAGCTGAACTCTGCTCTCGATGGCAGAGCCACAAAGACAAGCTGCCTTGCAGGTTATTCTTCAATTTAACACACACACACAGAAACACACACTCCTGCATTGTGTGCTTTTATATTCCATCAGCGGTCAGCATTAGCATAATTATTCATGTAAATATGTTTGTCTTGTCAGGTGGCCGAGACTCCCAGTGGAGGCATCGTCTCTCCTGGACTTTGGTGCTACTCCTGTCAATGAGAGCAAGGTGGGTTATGTTTGTTTAATGAAAATACAGCATTTATTTTTTTATTAGTTGTACATTTTAAGATTTTTTTTTAAATTTAGGAAACATTTATTCTTAACAAGCATTTGTCTTATAAAAGAAAAAAAAATTTTGTTCCAGGTTAAGACATTCATGCTGAAGAACCCTTCGTCTTCAGTGGTTTCTGTAGAGATTCGGGTCCTCTCTCTGTACCCTGCTCCCCTGGAGGCTCTGGACCTTCTAACCAAATGGTACATTGTCAAGTTATTGTTGCAGTTTAGTACACGGCTGTTTTGAGTTTTGATGCCGCAGCACCTCCTTCTACTCCACTTCTGAAGTTGTTTTCTTTGTTTGGATTGGCAGGTTTAATATCAGCCCTCTCTCTGTTAACATCAGCACAACAGAGTTCTCTCTGTTGGCTTCTTCCTCCAAGGTAAGCCTCGGAAAAACTCCTCAAAATAAAGCTGTGCCACTGTCTCATGTTCCTTTCTTTGACTAATCCTTTCCGTTTCTTCCCTCCTGTGTGCATCTGTACAGGTGGGTAAGAATATGGAAGAAAAAAACGGAGTCTTACGTCTGCTGCTGCAGCCCTGGGAGTCCAGAGAGGTTGCTGTGGTTTTTACTCCCTCTGAACACAAACCCACCACCACCATTCTTATCATCAGGTATTCATTGATAATAGTGTTAATGGATTTGATTGTGTCTTCTGGGTCCATATGTGCTGAGTTTTTTGTGTTCCATAGACATTTCACAAATCTGTTTTCCGCCATTTTTGTGGTACCCAGTTTGGTACAAAAGTGTAGTGGAACATGTTTTGTAGCCAGTTTTTAAAAAGTTGGTAAGTTGTCTGTTTATAACACTGAAGACTTAATGTGGCATGATTTAAGCGTCTCTTGATTTCCTATTTTAAGTTTCGACGTCTGAGTTTGTGTGTTTTTAATCTTTTTTTCTTTCTTTCTTTTTCAGGAACAACCTGACGGTGTTTGACATGGTGATGGTGCAGGGCCACGGGGCTAAAGAGCTGCTAAAAGTCGGGGGGAAACTGCCCGGTCCTGGGGCCTCTTTACGCTTTAATGTTCCTCAATCAACGCTAATGGAGTGTCGTGATGGTGAGAGTGAAGTTTATCAGCTGTCATATTAATGTAAATTTTAAGCTAAATGTACGATCAAAATCAGGCTAATGGGCATTATTTCTGACGCTTACAGGTCTGCGCAGCAATAAGCCCCTTTTTGCCATCAGAAAGAGCTTCAAGGTGGAGAATGCTGGCGAGCTTCCCCTGACGGTCATGTCAATGAATATAAATGGTTACAAGTGTCAGGGATTTGGCTTCGAGGTGCTGCAGTGTCATTCCTTCAGCCTCGATCACAACAGCTCCTCTGAGCTCACCATAGCGTGAGTGGGATTTCAGACCCCTTTCCTTCATGACGTCCCTTCATTTAACTTTTTGGGTTTCATTTTAAGCCATAATGTGGTTTACTTTGCTGGTTGCGCAATATATTAGTTGCCCAATATCCTACTTCTCTTGTTATGTATTTATTTTTTGCTATTTCTCTTCCTTTTTTATATTCTTGCACAATATGTCCTGAATATGTCTTCCTCTCCTTTTTTAAAAATCTCATCATTTTGGCTCTTTTTTTTTTAATCATTTTGCCGTTTGTTTCTCTCTCTGCCTCTACCTGTCCGCGACTTCAGGTTTACCCCAGACTTCACCTCATCTTGGGTCATTCGGGACCTCACCCTTGTGACATCACGTGGCACTTCTTTCCCTTTTACCCTCAACGTGACGCTTCCCCATCACATGTTGCCCCTCTGTGCCCAGGTGGTTCCTGGCCCCAGCTGGGAGGAAACTTTCTGGGTGGTCACCCTCATCTTCACATGGTCAGTAACAGTAATTTGTGAGGAGAAGCGGATACATCGGGGAATGTTTATTGATTGGGGTTTAGTTTTTGATTAACTTGTAAATTTTTTCGAATCTCTGTTTTTGTTGCAGTTTCTCCTTGTTTGGTGTCTGCCTGATGGCCTTTTATCAAGCACAGTTTATCCTGCATGAGTTCTCTGCACCGAGCAGCAGGAGCAACCACAACTCTGTCTTGTCCCGGGAAAATGGTTCAGTCAATAATATCACACCGAATGGAGTACAGTATGTAGATTTTTCTTCCTCATTTATTTATGTAGACCAATCGTAAACATAGCAGGAAAACCTTTTGGTGTTAAAACACTCTAAATAGTCAAATGTCTGTCTGTGCAGTAAAACAAAAGGCAGTTGTAAGACCTACGTGGACACCTGCCACACATCCGACAAAGGTAAAGGCCGCGGGTCTCCAGCCTTAGCCAACAGCCCCGCCCCTCGACCTCAGTCCTCAAAGAAGGGCTCCTCAACCACACCCTCCCAACAACAGAAGAAATGCAAGGTTTCACTCTATTACTCCAAATATAAACCCAGCTCATCCACAGCATCAGCTGGTGCTGTGGCAGTGGATGAAGAGCTGGAAGACTTGAGACCAGACCCTCCCCTCACTCCCGACACCGACGTCTGCAACAACAACAACGAACCAGCTTTCATCAATGAGATGGAGAAGATGACAGCCCCAGACTTTAAAGAAGTCATAGAAGATACAATGCCAGCAGCGGTTATGTTTCCCATGGAAATACCTGCTGGTTTCCCAGATAATGTCACACTGGGTCCAGGACCCAGACCGGGCCTGTTAGTGTGCAGTCCCATAGAAAAGAGCTGCACTGAGCACTATGCAGAGAAGATGGAGTCTGAGAAAAGGGACAGTTCTGAAGTAGAGGTAAAGGAGAGGTTTTTGTTAGACTGCTGCATTTCTGTTTAATTACAATAACAAATTCATTTCTCCTTTTACTTTTATCATCAAAGAGATTTCTATAGACAAAAAAAACAACTGTCATCCCTGTTTGTTTACCCCCTCTAGCTGAGAGACGACTGCAAAGGACAGAAAAAGAAAGCACAGAGCACAGAGTCTGGCACTGCAGCAGGGAATAAGGGAAAGAGGAGCCGCAGGAAGACTGAAAATGTCTCCAGGTAATACACACGTACTTAACCAAAGCAACACTTAATGTTTTTATAGCTCATGATGAAAGATACCTTAAGACAAATCTTTGACGTTTAATGTAAAAACAAGCAGAGACTCTCAGTTAACCCAGTAATATAAATATATATAATGTGTTTTGGGGGGTTTTTTTGTAGTTGATTTGTCTCATAATTACTGTTGTAGCGCTCCTGAGCACAACATGCAAGTAACACCAGAGAGGGAGAAGGAACCTGTTTGGAAAGCTGTGGACTTTGTCAGTGGACCCCGCAGCAGGAACCGCTCCACCAACAGCTTCAAGACAGAAGCACTGAAGCCTGTGCAGACTGCTGAGAGCCCACTCAAACAGAACGGTGGGCACAAATAACTGACTCGGCCATTACCGAGCTTCCCTTAAATAAAGCTACTTTAGTGAGGAAAGTTGATTCTCATTTCGCTGGGCTTTGTTCCTGCCAGGTGTGTGTCCTGCTCGCACTCGGAAGAAGTGTACTCCGGAGTGGCGCGTGGGCAGCGTCTGCGAATCAGGCTCAGACTCAGGCAGCTCATCGGGCAGCGTGAGGGCCAGCAGAGGGAGCTGGGGCAGCTGTAGCAGCACCAGCAGCATGGAGGGAGACAAGGACGCCAGTGCCCGGACACACCGCTCCACTACCTCATCTAGAAAAAGTATGGGGCACTTACCTTCTCTTGAAAAGAAACCCAACTCAAATTGTTTTGTTGCAGTGCTGCTTTTTTTGGGGTTATAGTGGTGCTGTCTCTGCAGCCAGCCTCACACTTTCTCAGCCGTTGAGTGAATGCGTGTGATGTAGGAAACTAGTCAGTAAAAGTCTTCTTATAATAGATGAGAACTGTAGTTTGCCACTTTTTAACATTAGTCAGTTTGTTTGTTTTTCCAGGGGACTCCATGCAGTACAGTGTGTACCCAAAAGAGGTTGACAGCTACCAGCCCATTAATGCCAACTATAAGACTAAAAGGTACCACAAGAACTGGTTCTGATTAGTATCAATATAACATTTCTTTCTTTCTTTTTTTAATCTTTTTGTTTGCCAACTTAAACAAATACAAATGTATCAGTCTGTAATTTGTATTCCAATGACTTTGTCAGAGGTCATTCATGTGTTTTTTACTGTGCTTTCATAGGATTTGTACAGTTTGTAATGCTAAGAGCTGGATTTAGGTTATCTTGTGGTTTATTCAGACGCAGTGTAAGTCGTAACTTTTGCCTTTCCTCTGTTCAGCATGAACAGCCTGTACCATAAAGAACAATGCCAAAGCCAAGAGTCCACCAGGCCCAGCTTGACCTCAAGCTTTGCTGCTGCTGTTGCTGCAGGAATGGACCAGAACACGGGTAAACGCTTAATCATTTATAGCAAAGGCACACTTTTTGAAAAGGCAAAATGTGAAGTAAACTCGTCTTCTACAGCAGTTGTGCGTCTCGTCCGTTTTCGTAATCGTTATCATGTCCTCTCCTCACAGATGTGACAGGTCAGTATCTGCCTGAAGATACATGGTCAGCTCCACCCATCCCCCTCACCAGTGAGTTCAGATACAACACCACCGAAGCAATGCGCTACATACCACCAACCACCGCGTCATACCGCGGGTGAGTATTTGAAGATGTTAAGGAAACACTTGGTTAGTGGTGCTTCACTCAGTTCCAGTAAATGAACTGTCTGCGTGGGTCTTTATGACGGCACCAAAGAGAGGGCTGGAGTTAGCGCAGTCTAAAACAGATCTAGTGTCCGTAACAGACTCGTAGATTCATAAAGTGATTAAAAACAATAATCCAGATTGAAAATCTTTAGTAGAAATGGAAATAACTTTACAAATGTGAGCATAAAGCGGCTTTTCACCTGTGGATAATCTGCATATTCATCTTAAAAGTTTGGTGTTACTCAGACCTTCTCTGTAAACAGCACATGCTTGAATATCTTTCCTCTGCTGCTGCGCTGCGTATTTGCTTTTCTGTAGATTAGTGTTTCAGCTTCTTTGACTCTGTTAAAAATTTCCTCCTCTCCTGCAGGTTACGTTGGAATAGTGCCAGCAGCCACTGTAACAGTTCCTATAACTACTATCCGGAAAATGGCTACATAGGTACGAGCTCATGATAAGCACTTTGAACCAGTTATGTGTTCCCATTGCTTTGTAGAAGATCAGCTATATAATACTGTAACCAACAAATAATGCAAAGGCTAAACGTCACTGCTGGTTCAAGTCTGAGTTGTTGTTTGTTATCATTTTGCAGGTAATGGAACTTTTACAAGTGGTTTTCACAGTCAGGAGGGCCAGAACATGCACAGCAATCAGACCATCTGGAGTGACGAGCAGCCTCAGGAATCGCCCTCAACCTGGGACACAGCAGCCTGTGTGGGCAGCAAGGTGACGCCTCATAATACTCGAGTCAGATGGTTAACGCGGGGTTCTTAAAGTTTTCATGACTCTGTGCCAATTTAGGGAGAAAGCATCTGGTTGAGGGCAGCAAAGGAAAGATGCACCAATTACACCACAAAGTTTTGTTTTTAATTTAATAGCAGCACTGTAGGGCTTTTATTTTCCATCATGCCTGTGGTAGGCTGAGAGGCAGTAATCAGTTCATTTGCAGATATTCTGTTTCAAAGTGCAGATGTTACTATGAATTCGTGGTTTTACATCTTTTGCTTCAAAGAATGTTGGTTTTTATCGGTAATTATATTTTTGTACCACTTCCAGTGGCTGTTTCAATTACTCACACTAATTGTACTTGGAGATATTATTTTATGTCCACTATGTTATATATATGACAGCAGTTTGTCTTAATGATTCCTTTTGTGATATATTTTCTGTACACTGGGGAAAAATATTGATGTTTTTATAGCACACAGGTTCTCTAAATACATTTCTTTAGTTTCAATAACCAGAGTCAAAACACTACTTCATGATTCATCGTGGTGGTGCAAACAAATGACAGTAAAATTACCTGAAATCAATGACTTCAGCTGCAGTCAGTCGAGGGGAACAGATTGGACGTTTTTTCTTAAAAAAAAAAAAGTATTTATCATTTTTTTCTGCACCTTCTGCAAGTTACTTTTTGTTTACTCACTATCATATTTTCATATTTACATTATTCTGATTACGTTTATTAGGGGTGGGAGTGACTCGAAGTGTTATACTAACAGAACACACAGTAAAGATGATATGGCAGCTTCTGCAACCAGAGCAGCCACTGCAACTACAGCAATAACTGAACTGCAGCAACTAAACCTGCCGTGAGGCCTAAAAATAAACCATGTAAAGATGACACATGAGGGGTTTCAGTCCCCTAAAGCAAATACACAGTTGCACTTCTGTAAATTGGATACATAAAGCAACACAGTTTTCTAGCACAACTGGGTGGTGTAGTTAGCCTTACAGTACTGCAGAGACATCGTCGCACTGTAGGTATAAACAAACACACTGTTTTATCTCTGATAGGCTGGAGATGGTTAAGATGCTGATACATCTGTCAAGATTATTCTTTAAATAAAAGTGTGATGGGTGATAAAACCCAGTTGCGGTTCCAGTTTAAACTTCGAACCTTAGATCAGTGGTGTCAAACATAAACCGTGGGGATCAGAATCGACCCAGCAAAGACTTCAAGCCGGCCAACTGGACAGCTTTAAAAAAATGCACAGATTTTGAGCTTTTAACTGTATTTTCTGACGTTTTACAGCTTTCCCTATTGATAAAGATCCACACTACATGTGGCCTACAGTGTAAAACGAGTTCGATGTCCCTGTTCGAGATGTAAGCTGGATGTGTGTCGATTGGATCAGTATAATTACACCTCTGACGTCTGTGTTCTGACTTCTGATCATTTTCAGAAAGTAATCAGCTCTGTGCAGAAATAAGGAAGCAGGGAATCTGGGTTAAGGAGTATGTTACTGTATTTAGGATAGAATCAGCTTCTCTTCTGTTTGTAGTCTCTCCATTTCGTGTAGCTACACTAACACGGAGGGGATGACGCTTTGATTTAATCCTGACATAAAAGAACACACAGTGACAGATGACAAATTTAGCTCCTTTCAAATTAAAACCCAGTTCACATCTTTCTTTTGGTTCTTGTTAAGTTTTAGTCATAGTTGTGTTCTACAGAGGAACATACATGTTTCCCATAAACCAGTCTAAACAGACAGGCTCACATGCAAGCTAACAGGCTGGATAAGAGAAAGGGAAGTTCATCTTGAAGACGGAAGAGTACAGAGGGCGGGGGGTATTGCTCTGTCATATAGATGTGTGGAGTCAAATACCCCGGATAGGGCACCAGAGAGTTAAAAGAAGAAAAAGAGGCATGCTGCTACAGCAGCTGGTTTATTTCCACCAGTTCAGTCTGTGTGGCAGAAATGAGCAACACGATTAACACGAAGTCTTTTGGTCTTTTGTTGTTGTTTCTTTTAATCCTGCACAGCCATTTATTTGTCAGGCCTGGCCTGTGAAGCAGGTTGGGAAGAGTTGGCTACAAAAAGAAAAGGAAACATTAATTCTTTACCCCTTGAAAACCTATCAGAAGTAACCCTCAAAGCACTTTCCTGAACTGAGTGGTGACTCATATTTCAGGCTGCTTATAGATCGAAATAACTGGGTGGCCTCTGCCTATGCAGCTACCCTTGGAAAAATCCAGATACGATTCTAATGGTCGTTAAACCACATCTTTATTGATATATACTGAAGCGTCAGCGCGTAAACATCTGCTGCATCAATGACAAATAAGTTTATACAGATGTTAACAGTGTTGTATACATCTGAGCATTTCTGTGACCCTTGTGTGACTCACTTTGGTTCAGTAACACTTCAGCTAGATCTGAGAAACTTACTCAAATTCTTTGAGGTATTTTTGTAAGACAGTGTAGAAGAGAAGAGGATTATCACATAACTCATAAAGATGAGGGGAAGTGTTGCCGTCTTTGCTGAACTGGAAAGGTCATTTTGTTTTTGCTGAAAAGGAGAGACAAACGGCAGCCAGGTCGTCACTGTGGGGAACAGATGGTATCAGAGTGCAGTGAAAGGTGAGGTCAGAAACTGTCGACCCCTCCTGACAACGTTTTCCCTCTCTTCCGCCCCCACAGCCATACTTCTCGGGTACCCGCAGTCTCTCCCCCATGTCCAGCCTGTTTGGATCCATCTGGACACCCCAGATCGAGCCCTACCCGAGCCACTTCCAACCCGAGCGATCAGCCCCAGTGTCCCCCATCACCCCGCCTCACTCCCCCTTTACTCGGGAGCCAGTGGGGGCCTGCGGACCGCTGCAGTACTCCAGCTTCAACCCTTTCGGCCCGCACATGAACTTGGACATATGGAACTCTTCATCCAACCGCAGCTCCAACTCGCAGCTCTCCAACGACTCCGGCTACTGTGGAGATGTTTAAAACAAGTAAATACAGCAGAGCTTAACTATAATTGGAAACTTATAAGTCAAGAAAAGGAAATAAAAAAAAGAATGTTCTTTTATCATTGATGGGGAAAATGTGAATATTGTTTTTCTTTTATGTTCCCATTTTCAGATGTTATATGTTGTGAAAGGTTAAGCATTTGTTGTATATTTTTCTAGCTGTTTTGCAGTTTTGATCATAGAAAATTAAAAAAAAAGTTTTGTACTTTAACTTCATGCGTCTTGTTTTTTAATTGACTTGTTTACTTGATTTTACTTATTTATTTATTTTTACTTTCCTGTGACAACCACCAACCAGCTAAAACAGTAAATGAGAGCAGGAACACGGATTCTGCAATAAGACGTAAACACAAAGCGCGGACCCGCGGATCAGAATCAGTGAGATGTCGCCTTTCTCACCTGACGACACGGTCGGGGCTAAAAGCGCCGATTCTGATGCTGTTAGTTTGATCTCTCTCCAAACAATATTGACCGAACCAGCAGCAAAAGAAGATCCAAACTAAGCTTCACATAAGCATCGTCATGAATTCCCTCTGACTTTTGCTGTTTTGCTTCCACCACAATAAAAACCACACTTCATGCACAGCTCTCTCTCTCTCTCTCTCTCTATACTTCAAGAACAGTTTCCTGTCTAAAAATCTGTTTTCTGCATTATTCACTTGCTACTCACAAGTCTACCGTTGTTTACAGCGCGGTCGGCCGCTGTTTTTTTCCTTTTACTTACTTCCGAAAAGAAAACCTCATTTCTACTGTTCAATACTGAACAAATTTAAACTTAAAATTATGCAAAATTGCAAAACGCTTAGCTGTGTTTCTAATCAAACCTCTGTAACTTTGCTCTGCTTCACTTCAGCAGCATCAGATAATGTTCATATGTTGTTTAATGACTTTATCTAGTTTTTGATCTACTGCAGAATATTTTTATAAAATCCCAGGCCAGGAAAACCGCCTTCATGTTTTTCTGTGTTTTATCCTCAGCTACTTTGACACAAAGGCATCTGCTGTGATGCTCACACCTTTGATAAAGTCTTGCAAGTGTCAGCTTCCTTTTATAGATATAAAAATATGGAAATGTACTGATACAGGATCTGAATTATAATATTTCTGACTGTCTTAGGCAAAATTTCCTCGATTCAAATCGAATTGAATTGTGGATCGAATCAATTCGGGACCTTGTGAATCGGGGATCGAATCGATTCTAGAAATCGGTGACAATACCCAGCCCGACTTTCAATCATTTGAATCACTTTTCTGCCCCTGGCTACAAATAGTGAGTTTTACTCAGCTGAGCCGTTTTGATTCTTAAACGCAGAAAATATTTTAACTAAAACCTACTTTTGGCTGCTTCCTTTTTTCACAGCAAGTCACTATAGCAGGCAGCTCCACGTTAGCTTGGGCAGATTTGTGGGTGTGGGGTGGAATTGTCATCAACCCACCTGGCCAGTGGATGTTGGTCAGCACAGGCACCCAACTTTGTGAACTCAAATGAGGTGATGTAGGATTTCAAACCTTACCACAGATTTTTCTACCAAATATCGAGGATGAGTTTGTGTATTGCTGATTTTGATCCTCAAGGTCAAAGGTTAGGTTTTTGTGAAACTAAAAAGACCACATAAATCATAAACACCCAGGAAAAATCAAATCAAAAATGTGTTTGACCCATTTTATGATTTATGATTCGACCTCGATATGATCCAACTGCTAGGTGTATGCAGACATCTGAGATCCCTCAGACTACATGGATTTTAGGAGGATCTAAAGTTGTGTGCCTGTGTGTGTGTGTGTATATACCTTAAATCTGAAAGAGTGCATTGTAAAATTTCTAAATATAATTTATACAGCTGTTAGGGAGATGTTTAATCCACTATACTAGAAATATTAACAAAACTAAACAAAATAAACAATCTAACACCAAACATGGACATGCACAAACACGTAATACAGTTCGAGTAACTTCAGCGGGCCTGGAGAACGGCATCTTTGCTGCTGTAATCTTACTGAGCACAACTTTTTTGTGGAAGTCAACATAAAAAAAGGAACGGGACTTCCCGCTCTCTAACTCTCTCATAACTATTTTTAAAACTTCAGTAAGTCATTGCCAAATACACAAACATTGTATGTCCCCATTTATATTTGGTGATACTTAAATTACATTTTATTTAATTCTTTTATCATAGCCAATATCACCTTTCGCCAAACAACAATGCTGTTTGTTAGTGTGATTATAAAATTCAGTTTCTTTATTTTATCACAGGAGGCCTGAAACCTGTCCGGGGTTGGTTAAAAGACATAGATGACATAGATTTACCCCATTTCAGGTGGATTACCTGTGCTTTATTTAACTTTATCAGGTGTTTTTTATGAAAAACAGCCCAATCTGTATCCAATCTTCCATTTAGACCTACGTGGAAATGTATGATACTCTAAACTCACCATTGTGGCGCTGACCATCACACACATAAATTCATACGCTGGTTATAATGTGGCACGCACAAGCTGACAAAGGCAGCCTGAAGTATAATGAATATAACGTTTATATTATCACGGTAATGATACACATTCCTTTTCTGTTCACATACATGTTAGCTCAATGCAGCCAATCATATGGCAACAACTAAATGCATTTACACATACAGACATGGACAAGACTCAGGTTCACAGTGTGCATCAGACTGGAGGAAAAAATCTCTAGTATTTAGAGAAGGGTCCGAAAAACAGAAACTACTCAGTCAGTTCAGTTCTCTGGATGAAAATGTCTTGACCGCTGATGCCAGGGGTTAGAGGCAGGGGTGTTATAAATAATCAAAACTAAAAAGAAAAAACACCAAAAAATATAGACTAGGTGAAAAACTTTTGTGAACTTGGAAAGCTTAGGCTACGTCCACACTAATGCGTTTTCATTTGAAAACACATCGTTTTCTCTCCGTTTTGGCCTCCCGTCCACCCTGAGACGGCATGGTCCTCAAGGAAAAACGCAGCGTTTGAAACGCATGCATTTCTAAACGGAGCTGCCCCGTCGCAGTGTGGACACTAGTGATGTGCAGATCGATCCTGAAATATGGATTCCTCCGATACCAATCATTTATGTTCTAGAATCGATTCTCACATTAAAATATCGATATTTTAGTAATTTAGGGTAAATGTGTAGTTTATCATTAACAGGAACACAGTGGAAAGAAACTATAACATTCGGATTGTCTACATTCAAAGGAACTACTTCCTCTTCCGCCTGTCATAGTCATGTGCAAAATACGGCTGTATAAATGTCTCGCATAACATTTTTAAGTTATCAAAGTGACTTATATATCATGTTTAACCCGAGTAGCGAAAGACCGCGGGGGTTTGAAGACGATGTGTCGGTCGGCTCAGATATTTGAAGAGTAATATTAAAACTAAGGTGCTGTCGCCATTGTTGGAAACTGGAATTGGCTGGGCCGCGCTATGAATTCTGCGATATGGTTTTTCAATGTTGTTGTCCGGGTGGAAAATCGGGAAAAATTCGGGAGAATGGTGGCTTCGGGAGAATGGTGGCTCCGGGAGATTTTCGGGAGGGACACTGAAATTTGGTATTCTCCCGGAAAAATCGGGAGGGTTGGCATGTATGGTTGTGGCAACATCACTAACCTTGTCAAACACCTCAGAGAGTAAATCATATCACACAATATGAGGAGCGTATGTTGAGACGAACTGAAGAGGAGGAGAGGGACAGGTGCTGCTAGGGCGAGACAGACGTCTCTCACGGAGTCCTTTAGTGCTGCAGGCAGGCAAGGAGTTCAAATAGGCACAACTTCAGTTTTTTTATTTCTATATGATGAATTCTGCATTAAGAACAAGTAATCTGATGTCCTGTAATCATTAATAATTTGAGATACAATAAATAAAATACGTTTTTGTACAAAGTATCAGTATCGGATCAGTATCGTCGATACCACCCTGAATATTACTTGGTATCAGATCGGAAAGGAAATCAGAGTTGTTGTTTTTTTTTTTAAATCAGAGGTATCGCACATCACTACTGGACACTCCTAAAACGCAGACTTCCTAAAACGATGACGCATTTTAGTCATGTGACGCATGCGCAGGACTGGAACGTAGGTGTGGTGTTTCAATGTGGACGCAGAACTTTGTGAAAACGACTGAAAACGCTAGTGTGGACGCGGAGCTAGTGTGGACGTAGCCTAACGCACCTGATGAGGCAGCGATGAAGGTGTTTATTGAGACTCCGAATCTCTAAGACTGTGAGTCATCAAATTTCGAAAACTTTTGTGTTTCAATTGTAATGTCTGCACTGATTTCCTAAATCTTACCTCTCACATATCCCCGCCAAACAAACTAACTACAAATAACGTTAAAATTATTAAAAACGAAACACTTTCAAACAATAAAGACGAAGATAAAACGAGAAACCCCACTCTGGCAACTAAAGTTAAACTGAATTAAAAACAAAAAGTCTGAAATGAAATGTAAAAGAATTCTTGCCGCAAATTGGGCCCATTAGTACATCAAGTATCGTTAATCACAGCGTGCCCATTTTCAGTGGCTGCTTCCAGCAGGATAATGCAAAATGGCACAAAGCTCAAATCATCTGAACCTGTTTTCTTAAACATGGTAGTAAGTTCACTGTACTCAGATGTCTGTTGCTTTATTTCTGGATCTCCCCTTCTAATGTGACAGGATGAATGTATGAGATAAGGAAATAATCGAGCCACAAATAAGAGAAGTGGTAAAGGACACTTTCACATCAGTCAGTGTCCTGACTGTGCAGCAGGAGGACAGGACATTTCATCTGTGAGTAAGACAGTTTTATTTTCTTCATTTTTTCTTCTGTGCAGGGCTAAAGCTGGTGAAACCTGTTTTTAGATCATTTATTTAACATATTTTAATGCTGTGGTGTGTGTGTGTTCTGTGCTTGTTTAGGATGTCTGCTCAAATTAGTCCATGCATTAGCATTACAGTTTATTTGATGATCACTCAAACAGTCAAACTGTAATTTTCCCACCACGTTACTTTATGACATTAGCACGAAGCCTCCAGCTGTGCTCCAAAAGCTGTTAGCATGGCTGTTTTTAGCATTAGATTGTGTGACACCAGCACCTGAAAGAAAAGCTCTGATCATTTTGATTTTGTGTTTGTTTGTGTTTTGCAGGCACTCAGGAGAATAAGTCATGAA